TGATGTCACGTTTCTTTCTTTTCCTTAGTGTGTACGAACGTTATATAACGTTCTTACACGCTAAGAAAAAGAAAGAAACGTGACATCACTCTACACAGACAACAGTCTTAATCTTAATGTATGTTATATATGTGTACCGTACATTGCAACGTGAGCACACACTATATATAACGTGAATAAGAAAAGAAAATCGCTGTTTGTCGTAGCTCTGTTCTCGATGCTTTGCTCACAAAAACCCTCTTAAAATTCTTAAAAACAAGAGTTTAATAGAAACGATTTCAAATACCTGTATGATTTGTATTCGCCAGTTTATTCCTAGTTGTTTGAATACAATATCAAATAAAAGTTGGTGTAAAAATAACCGACTACAATAAGAATCAAGAATAATGATAGATGATTGTTATCAATTTAATCTATTATTTAGCTATATTCTGGAATTGCAAAGCACACGAAAATTTTCTCTTCAACAACATATGATATCATCATATATCTAAATGCGTCATATATGATGCAGGTAGACGTCATATTTCCTTTTAAAAAGGAAAAAAACCCACAAAAATGCTTTTCCTTCGAAAAAAAAGAAGAAAAATATCTGTTTTGCTTATTTTTTTTCGTTCTTGTCTAAATACTAGACGCCCATCTCTCGTGAGATTATTATCAAGTAACAAACAACAGATTGCATACGATGAAAAACGAGTGTATGAATAACTCACTACGGAATAATAATTTTCACACACACACACGCATCCACATAAAAAAACATATTGCATATCGATTTATTACTTGTTGGATATGAAAATGGACATGACATTTCAAAAAATATTATTGATAAAGTTAAAAATGCTGGGAAAACAAATGAACATGCACGAAATTTAATAAAATTAATTTTTATCTGGTTTAAAACATTAGCGCTTGGCATAGAAATTCCCGCAGTTTCGTCTACCACTTCACATTAATGTTGAATTTGAATAACACAGTAGTCGGCTTTGGGACTTGGTATATACCCTTTAGTTTTCTAAATGCAAAGTTGTGAGTTCGAATCTACAAGGCCGCTGTTTACATTTCTGTCATGTGTCTTATTTTAGAAGACGTTTGTAACGCGTATACGTCAGATCACAAAAAGACGTTTTAGTGTGTCTTCGAAACAAGACACGGTAAGTTTTAGTGCATATTTCTTTTATCCGACTTATGTGTCTGACTATAAGACAGATTATTTTTTAGTGTGTACATATGATATAAGGCAATACTAATAATATGTTCACTATTTTAAATGCAAAGTTGACTTTCTCTCATCCAAAGGTCTGGTGTGTCATTCTACGAATTATTTGCTTTGAACAGCTAGTATACGCAATTCGAGAACTACAACGGAAAAATTACTTTTGGTTTTAGTAATTACTTAGTAAGTAAAATTTACATCACATCAGAAAACCAACTAGCCCAGAGCGGGAAAAACTTAGACCAAGAAAAACCGAGATCGAGAGTCTCGGTCTGATCGGGAACAATGTTCATGTCTTCAACTCTGTCAGTTGTATGAAAATAATTATGATAGTAGTGTTATAATATCTGTAATCAGATATCCCCAAAACTACATAGACGTGAACTAGAATGAATGTTGTGGAGATTCTTTCCTGGTAGTCATGATTTAGTTGCAACCTACCAGTGTTGCAGACGGAATAAAAATTCTGACATCGAAGACTCCAAAGCCTACGTAACGTTGTCGGGATGAGCAGAGTGCTAAAGATGTTTTTCGGTTCGTAGAGTAAATCGATCCGACGAGACATTGTTCCGATGGACGCAATATTCTGCTTCGCTGGCAATATTGCAGTGCACTCTATGCTCACGCAAATACTGCATCTGGTAAATTTATTTCTCTTTCAATCGTGACTATATTTGTAATTGTGAAAAGGTGTTGATTATGGAATAGTTCTTGGCAAAGCTTTGTTTCATTGATCTTATCTTTGAACTCTTTTTTTTTTCAATCGTTCGACTAAAGTTTTTAGTTTTTACATCGCTTATTACTTATCTTCTGTGGTTGTTTCTTGATAATGATATTTTTCTTTATATCTAGGTCGGAAGAAAAACAACAGTATCTTCGATTTTGACGCACGCTTGAAAAAATGCCTCTGCTTGCACGAGACTGGGCTGCAGAAACAGAAACAAGAACAGAATCGTTGCCTGGTGGTGTGATCAAAAAGACATATATAAGAACAACAAGTACCACGCCTAGAGTTATTTTTGGTATATTCACTGTTGGAATTACTGAAGTCATAGGAACACATTCAGTGGAAATATATGAATATTACTATGGAAATACAAATCTGGGTGCGACCAAAAATGCGGCCGCTGATACTGCAAATACAAAAGGAGTAAAATTATGTGAACAGAAGAATTTTAAAGAAGCAGGAAATTGGTTTAATGCAGCTTATCTCACATGTAGTCATGGCTATAAGGACGAGAAAACATTTTCGGATAGTGTCGCAGCGGCAAAAATTGCTGCTGAAGGACAGGAATTGCATGATCGTAGTAAATTTCGAGAAGCAGCAGCTAAATTTCAGGAAGCTTATAATAAATCAAATGTTAGTGAACTCTATGCTATATTTTCTACGTGCAGAAACGCTGCAAATGCTGCAGCTGAACGAGAGGCTAAAGCCCAGCGAGAAGCTGCTGAAAGAGCCCTGCGAGAAGCTGCTGAAAAAGCCCAGCGACAGGTTGCTGAAAGAGCCCAGCGAGAAGCTGCTGAAAGAGCCCAGCGACAGGCTGCTGAAAAAGCCCAGCGACAGGTTGCTGAAAGAGCCCAGCGAGAAGCTGCTGAAAGAGCCCAGCGACAGGCTACTGAAAGAGCCCTGCGAGAAGCTGTTGAAAGAGTCCAGCGACAGGCTGCTGTGCGAGAAGCTGCTGAAAGAGACCAGCGACAGGCTGCTGAAAGAGCCCAGCGATTGGCTCCTGCAGGAGCCACTCGGTGGGCTCCTGCAAGAACCCAGCGAGAGGCTGTTGAAAGAGCCCAGCGATGGCCTCCTGCAAGAGCCCAGCGAGTGGCTCCTGCAGGAGCCCAGCGAGAGGCTGTTGTAAGAGCTGTAGTAGAAAGTATGGGTGAAATTGTAGCTGTAGGGTCAGTTTTTCTCAAAAGGGCGTTATATTCTACGATACAAGGTATCACTTTGATCGTTCCTTTCGTATGTGTAGTAGTGTTCTGGATAATGCAGCGAGTTTTGAAGTTTCTATGGATAGTAACTCAGGAAGTTATACGAGTTGCGCCAGTAGCAACAAAAACTATGGGTATTGCTTTGAGTATAGTTGCAGTTTTAGCCCAAACTGCATTACGTGGCACACAAAAAGCTATTAGTATCACCGGGTTTCTAGCAGTGGCGGCAGTTACACAAGCTCTACCAATAATGACCAACGCAGCTACTACTCTAATAAAAGGAGGATGGAACATGATGGCAAAGGGTTTTGTCGCTTTAGGTACAGGTTCACTTAAGAAGTTACAAAGACTACGTACGGAAAGGACAGATAAAGATAAGGGACGAGCTGCAAAGATTGCAGTCGAGAAGAAAGCAGCTGAGGAGCAAACAGCAAGTATTGCAGCCTGCTGGAAGAAAGCGGCTGAGAAGCAGGCAACTCAGCAGCAGGATACAGTGATTGCAGCGCACTGGAAGCAGCTAGCTGAAGCATTAAAACTAAATGAAGAAGGATTAAAGTTATTCCGTGAGGGAAAATTTAAAGAAGGGACTAAAGAAATAGAATCAGCACTTGATAAATATGTGGAAGCAGTTTCAAAATTTAATAACGCTGCTAAGAAAAAGGCTCTAGATGTCATTTTTAATTCGTTTATAATGGTGATAGATGCACTTATTAAGCAGGAGGCATATGACGAGGCTCAAGAGACTATAAATTATGCTAAAACACATTTTCCTCAACATAATGCTGCTTTCACGGAAGCAGAACGAATGATAAATAGCCATGTTTGGTCTCCTGATTATGAACGCCAAAATCTGATCAAATTAGATCAGGAATTATCAGTGGATAATATCATCAAACTTTCAGAAGGATGTTAACTTTTTTATTCACATTGTTTTTTATTATTATTGTTAAAGGTTTTTCAAAACTAGAATTATTTCAGTGCTATTCATTCGTTTTTTGGTTTTGTGTTTTTCTTATTGCTGTTTTTAAAACGAGAAATCTTTTGGTTATTCGCAAACAAAAATTCGTTTGTTTTCACTATTATCGTAGGAAATAGTTTTTCTTTCAACTGTTGGTTGTTTTCACATCTAGCACATTCAAGTTTTCGTGTTTTTGCGGATTATTCTAAAAAGGTTTTGTTTTTGTTTAAAAGCCGTTTGACATAGGAAGGGACTATGTAGGTTACCTAGAGTACAGTGCTCACATCGAAATCACGTACACACTTAAAAACACGCGTCGTTTACTAAACCCAAAAAGGGTCTAGTAAAATGCAATGACACGCTACTGCTTCAAAAGTTTAGTAAAAAGCCATTTCAGGGTTTAGTAGCCTACTAAATCTGAAAGCGGTAGCGTGTCATTGCATTTTACTAAACCCCTAAAAAAGAGGTTTAGTAGCCTACTATTTACTTATGTTTTTCGCAATGTAAAAAGAAAAGATACGGAAAGAGGCAACCGGTAAAAATATCTCAACAAATGCAGAGAAGGTACCACGCTACTCAGTCAATCATAAGTACAGTGAGAAAGCAACACATGAAAAGCTGCTTGCGCAGAAAGGAATTGATCAAGTTTTCTTGCTCCCCCTTTGTGACAATTCTTTGTCACAACCTCTCTGTCCTGTATGTACAGGGTGCGTAAAAATGTTTTTCCAGGGGGTAACGCTATAATTGCGAATAGGGTAAGTAATGAATTTTATACCAGATGAAAGCCCGTCGAAAACGGGATTTATTGATGCTAAATAGTAAGTTTTATCAAAGCATTTTAGTGTCGAA